ACAACAACAACAGCCACGACTACGACGACAACCACAACCACAACCACAACCATAACCACAACCACAACAACAGCAGCAGCAGCAACAACAACAACAACATTAACACCAGCAGCAACAACAACGACAACAACCACACCACCAACAACAGAAACAGCAACATCAACAGCAACAGAAGCAAAAGCAGAAGCAGAAACAGAAACAGAAACAGCAACATCACCAGCAGCAGCAGCAACAACAACAACAACAACAACAGCAGAAGCAACAGCAGCAGCAGCAGCAGCAGCAGCAGCAGCAGCAGCAGCAGCAGAGAAGCACAAGCCAAACCAATCACAATGCAAGGGCAACTGCAACTGCAACTGCAACTGCAACAACAAAGGCTCTTTTTGCTGGGCTTAGGGTTGTTGCTCCCCCGGCTTTACGCTAAGATCCTTATCCTCAAATTAAGCATTAAGCTTGCCAATTGGAAGTGACTGTGAGAGTAGAGGGCCAGCGCACGCCCTCCTTGTTAGAAGATCCTTGCACACCAGTTTGGGTGTACCCGCAGGGTAGTTCCCCAACTATTTGGTTACTTGTGCCACTTGGGAACACTGTACTGCCATGAGTATGACTTACGTGCGGTTTGTAAGGCCCATTTTCGGCTTGCTTTGGTCGAACCTTGCTTTAAAGGCAGCCTTGTTGAAACCTGTTTTGCATCGACAGTTGCAAGGAGGGCGAAGCTTCCGACGTCGGGATTCCACCATATTTCAGGCAGTTTGACTTCGCTCACCGGCTTTCTCCTATAGCTAGAAATGGTCGGGTGTCAAAAAAATTGGAAACAAAAGCAGGCAAATCAACCGCCCAAGAGGAGCAAGATGTTATGGGAACTGGCTTGAAATGCTTGGATCGACCAGGATATGAGACTCGCCCCATCGCACCGATTGCTTCGATTCGGCCCCACGTCAGGTCCTGGCTCCTGCACTTCCGCCTGGAAAATACTCTGGGATTGCCAAGCGAAGCGCGGAGGAGACCGCTCTTAGAGTTGTGAACTGAACCGGTTGATTTCTTCCCGGATCTCCACCAGGATCAAAGGAGTGGACTACCCCGGAAATGGGGTTTGCGAAACAAGACTTCCATGAGACTCTGTCGGAATCTGTGATTACATGTCTGCTTGAAGGGAAAACCTGGAAAATGACACTGTTCCAGCTGGGTCACAAGCATTTTTTTCGTGTAGATGATTGTTTGGCACAGTCCCAAACCAGGCATGGACTCGGCAGCCCGTTAATTCTGCATCGGGCAGACTCCTTTGCGAGGTGTTGTTTCTGACTCAAATGGATGGGCAAAGGAGCAGGGCCATGACATGAGCAAGTTGTTTGTTTCTAACTTCCCCAGAATTAGCTCCCCTTTGATTTGTTGTTTCTTTGGGGGTGCCTTTGTTTTCCACTCACCAGGCAAAAACTATAGTTTTTTGGGGTCCTAATTCCGACCAAGCTAAGAGCAAGCCAGGGAATGCCGATTTCCAGAATTAGTATACCCAGCATGAATGAACGCCGCATTCATTGGGGCTGCATCCTAAGACAAGGAGCACTCGTTCAATCCCGAGGGTACAAAGTTCCAAGGCCCGACCACAGAACTTTTGTACAAAAGGCCGGGGGGCACAGCTGGGGTGGACACCGTAAATCTATTGCAAGTAGGAAATGAGGGAAACCCCGCAACTTCCCGTGGTTTGTGGTGGATTTGCTTGCAATATTTTTTGTGGCATCCAATGTAGAAACTCCGCCAGCCAGCCAAAAGCCTTCCGCTTCGGGGGGCGCGGGTTTTGGCTGAGTTGGTCACATGGGTGTCCCTGTAAATCCAAAGATCCGGCTTGATGGAAAGATCCTGCTCCCTGAGCCACACTCAACACCCGGGTAGAAGGTGGTGCAGTCGCCTTTTTGGTTCCTTACTTGGTTCTGGAGTCAATTTTAATGTCGATCGGTTCTGATTATGACTCGGGTGTCCGATTTGTTGGGCGAAATAGGATGGGTTGTTGTGTGCGGTTGACCTATCTCGCCAACGTAATCCTAACTCCGAGAACTCCTGTTTACCCGCTGCAAATTCTGGCTGCGTGCGTGGCTAATTTTTGGGACCCCCAGCAAAGGTTGTTTCCTTTTGGAATTCGTTTCAAACCACCCCGAAAAGTACCCTCAAAAGAGAGGTGAATTTGGGGAGGTAAATGACCTTTGGTCAACACTACATGCCGCCGGATCCTTGTGTTCAACGAAGTGCTAGCGCAAAACTGGCAACAAACAAAACGGTCTTTGAGAGCAGCTTCTAAAATCATTTCAGTAGATCAGCTTCTTTGAGGAAGTGAACTCCGTTGAAAGCAATGGACAGAATTTCGTCAGGTTCCTTTAGTCTACCGTTGTGTTGTGGAGACACCACGTGCCAATCCACGGCTCACCAGCGGCTCACCAACGACTCCGGGGAGAATCCTTGAGTTTTGAAGAGAAACCCAACCAAAGGTGGGACAAGGTTCTAGGGGTTGATTCCTTTCCATTCTTTTCAAGCATTGTTCTTTTCACAAACCAGATGTTTCTCCTGTGGTTCTGATTGTTCTCTGAAAAGAAGTGGGGAAGTGTCCCCGAGAAAGGTGCTTTTGATTTGCAAGCTTTGACACAGACACAATTCCTTAGAATCCAGCTGCTCGGGGGATTGCAGACATCAACCCCAAGCGTTCCAGTTGGTCTTGTTCCTAGCAGGGCGATTGAATTGGCCATAACTTCTTGTGATGTCACTTGACGGAACCCAGTGCAATGACGCGTAGTTAAGCCAGTGCAAAAGTGAAGGCGATCTCGGCGGTTTGCAATCAAGGCAACCGACGAAATCGCCTTTGACCTTCCACGGGCGGAACCCAGGCGTCATGGCACTCGGTCCAGTTTAAAGTGCCATCAACATTGTGTTTGAAGTAAATGGACAACTCCCCCAGACCCAACTTTGATAACCCATACCGCTCAAAATGCAACATGTGTTTTTTTGTTTTTAATGAAGGGTCCCAGACTCTTGCGTCCTCCAAGGCGCTAAGATCTGACTGCAAGAAACCTCCGTTTCAACGGAAGGCGCGGGAACATGACCCAATGCCCAGGAGCCGAAGCTGGTGTGCGAGGCGCGGAACGGAGACGTTGTGGAGGTTGGGAAACATTTTGACCTTTTGGCTTATTGTGGTTTAACTACAATCTAAAGTTTTACTGTAATTGTTTATGGTTGTGGTTATTGTGGTTTGTTTATTTTCGTGTTTGCTTATTGGTAGTTGGGAAGTCCCCACTTGTCCACTGAATTTTCAACTTGTGCTCCCCTTCCAACGTCAACCAATCTAGGGGTTGCCCATTGGGGAATGTTTTGTTTCCAGGTCCGGTGCGAAAGTGACAACATTGTTGATTGGGGGAGGGAGAACCTCAATGGCACGCGAGAAGCGCGAAGACCTTCCGTTTCAGGCTGTGAGCTGTGCGCATGCCGTTACTGGCCTAGTGAGGGTTCCCAGTCTCCTTTTGTGTTCGAAAATCCAGCCTCCAGAAGAACAACACACACACACATGACTTGATCAGTTTTTAGTGAGGGGAAGCAACCAACCTTTCGGACGCAAACGCAGTATCAGCACTCCTTCCAATCAAGGCCTCGCCCAAGCATCTTGAATGTGATCTTGTCCACCATGATTGCAAGGCTGGTCGTCCTTGCAGGGTTTGGTGATTAGTTGTTTTTCAAAGTACTGGGTCAATCGTAGTTATCAATTTCCATGGCCTTCTATGAAAGAAGTCCATCCCCCCCCCCCAACCACAAAGCATTCCCTTCCAATTGGTTGAAGGTGCTGGTGTTGGATGGCGCTCGCTGCTTCGGATCCGCATTTGCCTTTGACTAAACCTGCTTATTCAGTTCATGATGCAAAGGGGTGCTACCCCCCTTCAATAATTCCCAAAACATGTCTCCGACCTGGGCAATCCCGCGCATTTCAGCCGTTGAAGGGCGTTATCGTTTACCAACTAGCAAGAGTGAGTCCAAGCGCGTGTGCAAATACTGGAACCACCAAAATGATGCCTGTCTGTTTGGTCTCCTTTTAAACTAACCTGAAGAGGAGACCTTAAAATCAGCATAATCCCATGTCGGGGACGAAAGATCTCTACCTGGAGTCTCCATGACCCCTAACACATGATGTCAGAACCACACACGATTGGGGTTTTGGCCCTCAGGCCTCTTGGCGACCAGTGGCATTTCCATCCAACCTACAAACAGTTACAGCTTTTGCGGAGGGGAAGCGCAAGCAGTTGATGCGCAATGGAGACTCCAGGGACTCTACCCCTTTCGCACACTTGGTGTGCGGGATTCTGCTTTTGCAGGTGATCTTCAACAAATATCCCAACACCAGCCTGGAGAACGCCCGCCGGGAGTCTCGTCCAAGAACTTGGAGCTGCCTTCAAGACATACTGGAAAAACCCGTGTTTTGGACCCAGCAACCTGGTGTTTGTTGGACCGCACAACCTGTTTTTTTCTTGGACCGCACAACCTTTTTGTGGGAACCAAGAGGCAAATAGAGTGTCAAAGAGTAGGTGATGGAAAATGATCGGGACCGCACCTTGAACGCGTGGGTGAACTTTCATTGAGTGTCCCTTTCAAGCTGTCCCAAGAACGGGTTCAACCGTTGAGATGGGATTTAGTTGTAAAAAAGGGCCAACCTAAAAGCAAGCAGCGACCAGGGGCTTTACTCAATGTTTTTTCCCCAACAGCTGAAAGCTTTGGGGTCTCAGCCCAGATAGGCTCCGGGGTGGTCCGGGGCGGCCCTGAGGTAAGGTTCCACGAGGGTTCCACCAGGGTTCCACCAAGGGTTCCACCAAGGGTTCCACCGAGGGTTCCCCCAGGCGAGGGCTGCGGGGTGCACTAAAAAGAGCACGACATGCTGTTGGGGATATCACCTGATATTATTTTGTTTAATTTTATGCTACTGTTTTTTTAATGTTGGGTTGGCCCTGGTTTACAGGTACCACACAGCGAAC